GGCCTTCTATTTTTTCGCTTGCGTCAGGCTTGTATCCTTCCTCCGCCCCGCCCCCAAATCACCTAGTCCCAGTCTTTTCATGTGAAAAAGCGCTGAATATTAAAAAAATATCAATAAAAATAGAAGGCCTAGGTCTAGGCTGATATCCGGCTACTTTGGCTGTGAAAAAGTCGAGCAAGATTGATCTTTTTGCTATTATAAAAGAATACTAGAAGTTACTATCGCAAGGCAAGTGCTGCCTTACGACCAACCCTGCGGATTGATTATACAAATAAACTTCATTTATTTAAATTGCCTTATACACACTGTATGAATGAATTTATTTTGTTCAAAAAAGTATCGAAATTACAACATGTAATAATTACTAGATACTGTAAAGTGTACTTCGGAATTTTATATTTATACAATGTCATGTTACTTTTGGTGCCAATATTTTAAACTGACATTAAATGTCAATAAAAATCATTACTTAGTCTTCACTTGTGGAAATGAAAATAATTAGGAAGAACATAATTAGGAAGAAAATAATTAGGAAGAGCCAATACTGTATATGTCTTTTAACGTGGTACAATTAAGTTTGTTGCAAGTAATGATAGTCTTTTGTTTGTTTTCATTTGGTAAACAAGTGTTACCATTGTTTTTTGTCCAATATGTAGATTATCGTATTCATTTAGCATGTAGTGTCTATTGTTGGCCATCATTATTGTCCAATGACTTGTTAGGTTGCTGTACATATACAGGTTTGTAATATCATGACATCCGTATGGTAGATTGCAAACAAGTACAGTATATTTAACAATACATGGTAGATTCCATCCCATTGCATTAGATGTAATATATCCATACAATCTTGTAAATCAGCATTCTAATTGTTTTAGTATGAATACATTTCTGTTAACCCAGAAGCTCCCATCCTATTACATGCAATGTCCATATTATATTTTTACTGTAACAACCATTTGGTTTCATCCAGCACCATTCAAAACTATAGAGAAAAATAATTGGTAGCATGAGATATGAGGCATCACATAATAGGCAATTCTAGCTTTTAGTTTATGTGTGCAGGGCGGCAGGCCCGGATTAACGTTCCGCGGGCCCCGTGGCATATTATCAGCGCGGGGCC